CTCACGCGCCGCGACCGCACCCGCCTGCACCCGCTAGCTGGCAGCCTTGCAGGGTCCCGAGGGGCGGGGCGCCAGTCGACCGGCCCGGCCAATCGCAGGCTAGCGCCGCAGCCGAGGAGCCAATGAACGACGAGCTCCTGCGGGCCGGAGGGTGCGGTCCGGAGCGCAGCCCACGGCTCCGCCCACTGCTACTTAGCCTGCCCGCTCTGGCTTTTCCTCTCAAGCCTGTCGCATTGCAGCGTCTCCGCCCTCTCAGCGTCCTGTCTCTTAGCAACTAGATCCTCAGTGATTGATTTTAGATGACCAACGCGAAGTGCACAAGAGGGATGTGTGGGAGATAAAGGGAGCTCGAGTTAAAAGAATAGAGTTAAAAAAATATTTCCCTGTCAGTCACTTTGGTATAAGCTGTTTATAGGTAAAACGAAATTCTATAATCTGATAGGGCGTTGACTAGCTTGGCAGTTAGAAACATACTGTAACTGGAAAGCTAGTGATTGCTCCGATATATTGTGGAAAATGACATAGTTATTAAGTCGGAAGGCTGATTGTCAATCTTAGAGCACTGACGCCAGAATGTGAGTTTATGCTACCACTCCGCGGTTTTGGCAAGATTCCAAACGGTGTCCTTATAAGCACAGATTTAAGAGAACCGAGCTTTACTGTTGGGGACCCCATATGAGAACAGTTTCTGTTGCTTCACACCGTAATAAACATGCGATATCACTTTAGATAGTGTTGGAAACTTTTCCACCATCACTTTAATATTTTCATTCTTTCGGGGACAGTCCAGTCTCAACTCCTTATGTAGCTGGTGATTTTGAACTCTAGCTTTTTCTTTTTCTCTTTTAGGTACATCCTGATCCTCCTGCCTCCACCTTGCAGTTGCAAATGCTGGGACTAGAGGTATTTAACACCATACAGCTTACTTACGTCTTTTCTTTTCTTTTTTAAAGATATTTATTTATTTATTTATTTATTTATTTATTTATTTACTTACTTACTTACTTACTTACTTATGCAGTATCCTGCCTGTTTGAACTCTGGACCTCTGGAAGAGCAGTCAATGCTCTTAACCGCTGAGCCATCTCTCCAGCCCACTTATATCTTTTCTAAACCATACTTTTACAGACAGGGTCCTTGAGAGGATAATTTATTTAGTCTTTTCGATTTAAACCTCAAATAACTAAAGTTTAGGACCCAGGGATGTAGATCAGTTGGTAGAATGCTCCCTAACACACAGGATGTCCCATCTTTGCTCCCCAGCTCTAAAAACCAGAGAAAGCAGTCTAAAACCACATGGGTTCCAGGACACCTATGAATGCTGCTCATCACAAAATCATGGAATATCTTTTGTAACTTGGTTTCAAAGTTTTTGACCATCTGCTTTGTAGATAGATGACAAAGTTGTGTTGCAATGTCAAAAGGGTGGGGATTTAAATTAATACAGTCGTTATGTGATGATGGAAGTTACAAAGTAATCCCACACTAGTTCAGAATTGCATCTAATAAAGGGTTTTTTATTTAGGGAAAGGCTCACAGATCACAGCCCTAAACCATAGTCCTTTGTACAAATGAAAGCAAGAGCCAGAAGCGAGAGAGTGAGCTCACGCTTTAAAGCTGCATTTATAGTATAAGAGACCATGCCCAAGTGAGCTGGTATCTTAAAGGCTATTGGCTGAAGTAGCCCCCACAGCACCTCCCCCTTTTGTTTAAATAAGAGAGTTCCAAAACCAATACAAAACTATATACACTAGGAAGAGATATCGAGTATAAGATTAGAATTACAACCAGCATATGCTGTAGGAAATCATACAGCCAGGAGCCTTTAAGTTAACTGCCCACTGGGGTATGACTTCTTATACCGTTTATGAAAAGTAAAGCGCGCATCTGGCCTCTTTTCCAGCTGCGGGATACGGTTTCTGTTCTCTGTTCCAGCAGAGGATTCTGATTTGCGAGTCTTCCCTAAATAAATAACTGTTTATTATTCTCAATTCTGAGCTGGTGTAGGATTTCTTTTAAGTATTCTTCTTCGCCTGGTGCCCATATGAATTCGGACTCCACACCTACCGGGTGGATGGCCTAAAGGCCTAGTCGGTTGATGGCCCAGAAAGTCTCCCAACCCTACCCGCTCGGCTTGCTTTTACCTAAGTGGTTCTTTTGTAGAACATCCGCCACAGCTGAGCTTACTGCATGTGACAACTTGGAAATTTCCCAAGCGCATGCATTACTGCTGCATTCCCTGGTGTGGTTCCTGGCCATGTGGCAACTCTTGCAACTTCCGGTTTGTGCTCCCTGCCCATGAATTCTGGGTTTCTTGTTTCATGTAATTGCTTTTAATTTGTCAAGCAAAGCATATTTCTCAATATTTAATGAGTACCAAGGCGGGAAACTAAAGCAGCTCAGGACCGTTCCTGTCACCACCGGTTGCATTGCTTTCAGTCGCAACTCTGCAATCATGACATCCTCTGGACAATAAAGATTACAGTTTACCAGCTCACATAACAGGTAATTAATAAATCAATATGGCAGACTACATTAATATTGAAACTTTTAGAAACTGTTTTGCTAATACTTTGGATGGTATTCTGTGAGGCTTATATGGTTATGGTGATACTTTAATTTATTGAATATTGGGACTCAGTTTTTTCTTCATATTATATCATTAAAAAGAATGTGGCACTTTTAGGAATGATACAGTCTTTGCAGATTAATATTGAACAGCTAGTTGATAGGATTAATACCATCGAAAATTAAAAATTACTTAAAAAATAATACTATTAAAAAGGATAACATTAATTTGACAGACAAAATTGAATCCATATTTAAGGGTAATGAGAAATTATCTGAAAGAATTTATACTGTTGAATTTGACAGTCAAAATTTGTTAAAAAGTTATGATAGGTTAGCAGATAGAGTACCTCTCCAGGATAGCAAGCTGCATGCTATCCATGTCCTAGGATGAGGTGTTATCTTTATTATTTTTTCCAAGGGAGGAAAAGATTAAGTAAGTTTATTTTACAGACTGGCTGAAAAACAACTTCAAGAAAGTCAATAGAATTTAGTACGGTGTCATCCGTCCCGAAGGAGGTGCCGGATTTGGAGCAGTGATGGCTATGTCCAGATAATCCCTGTTTGAAACTTCTGTGACTGCAGGGTCCTGGAGTCATCAGTGCCCTTCCTGCCAGACATGGTGCTGCCAATCTCCTTAACTCGATATCCAGGTCTTTTAAGATCCATAAAAACAATTGCAAAATTGAAGTGTGTGCCCTTCTTTCTGGCTTCTGGGTAGACTTCCTTTACTAAACTAGTCAGTTCTTTCAGGGTTGCATCCATCCAGGTGTAGATCTGCAGCTCGCTCGAGGGCACATTCCTGCGGGAGAACTCGTCCATTTGGTGATGGTGGCCCTTGTTGGTGGCGAAGACCTGCGACAGGAGCAGGAGCGGGCAGGTCTTCTCGTGGTCCATCGGCTTCTCGGGCTCCTTCTTAATCTCCTCCTGGATAATGCGCGCTTCCACCGCCATCTTTCTCCTTGGGCCCGGGAGACGCTTGCCCTGACCTCCAACCCCTGTAGGAAGCATGAGCTAGTCGTGAGGTGTTATCTTTAAAGGAGAAACTTCAGACCTTGGAATTACACGTGCAGAATGAGGACCGGGGGCGAGGTGCCTCAGTGAAATCACTGGAAATATATACAGGCCAGGCTTTACAAAAGCCAATAATAGAAAGATTTGAAATGATTGAGGAAATTATTGGAGCTGACGAACAGGGAAAGAAGGCACAAGGGCAGGATTCAACATCACTAACACCTGTCAGAGATGACTTACCCAGGGTTTTAGCTTCTTACCCTGTAATCTGCTCTGACAAAGCATCAAGTTCGAAAGACCTAAAAGGATCCAAAGAAGGTAGATGGGTAGCTATAGGCATGAGTGATATAAATGAAATTAAGCAAGCTGTTGTAACTTCTGGCTTGCATTCTGCCTTTGTTAGGGAGATAATAAAGACTTGGGCTTCTAACATCAAGGCAACATCACATGACTGGCTTCAGTTAGTTTCAGCAGTCCTGGATGATGGGCCGCAGTTGATGTTTAGAATTTATTTCAGGATAGAGGCAAAAATTTTGGAACAACAGGGAGAAACAAAAGGCCTTGAGACTTCCCAAGAACAAATTCTTGATAAAGGCACTTATGCTGACCCATAGGCTCAAGCTCTTTATGAGGAGCAAATCTTGTCCCTATGCCACAAAGCAGCCTTAAATGCTTGAGACAGGATTCAAAAACTAAGAAAATGAAAGAAGTTACAAAATAATCCCACACTAGTTCAGAATTATGTATAATAAAGGGCTTTTTATTTAGGGGTAGACTCAGAGATCACAATCCTAGATCACAGTCCTCTGCACTAATGGGGAACAGGAACCAAATCCAGTAGCTGAAAGCAAGAGCCGGAAGTAAGAGCGTTGAGCACATGCTTTATAGCTGCACTTGTGGTATAAGAGGCCGTGCCCAAGTGGGCTGGTATCCGAAAGGCTATTGGCTGATGGAGCTCCCACAGCAGTCATAGAAAACTATATGTGTGAAATCTGCCCCTCCCCCCAAAAAGAAAAAAATGAAAAACTACCATGTAATCCCAGAAATGCTGCTACTAGGCATAAATCTCAAAGAAAATGAAACAATACATCAAAGAGGTATCTCTGCTCTCTTGTGCACCCCTGCATTCCCGCATTATTTACAATAGCTAAGGAATTGCCTTAAGTGTCCAGTTATGGATGACTGGGTTAAAAAATGTGGTGTATGTCCATAACAGAAAACTGTTGTCTTTTATAAAGAAGGGCATTATTAGGTGCTGAAGAGAAGGCTCAGCATCTGCTGCTCTTACAGAGCACCTGAGTTGTTGCAAATATCCACACGTGCAAGATTTGACATCTTCTTCTGCCATTCTTAGGCAAACATGATAACTTATATGCATGCAAACAAAACAATCATACATTTAAAACAAAAACAAATAAAAAAAGCCACGCATGGTGTACATTTTTAACTGTAGCCCTCAGGAGGCAGAGTCAGGGGGATCTCTGAGTCTGAGGCCAACCAGAGGTACAATGAGACCCTATCTTTTTTTTTTTTGTGGTTTTTGGTTTTCCTGTAGCTTTGGAGCCTGTCCTGGAACTAGCTCTTGTAGAGCAGGCTGGCCTCAAACTCACAGAGATTTACCCCTGCCTCCCAAGTGTTGGGATTAAAGGCATGTGCCACTACCACCCAGCTGAGACCTTATCTTAAGGAAAACAAACAAACAAAAAAACCAAACTAAACAAAGGGCAGGTCCTATCATCCATGACATAGTAAAATTTCAAATTTTATGGATAGTCTTGGGCCGGTAGGGTCACTTGTCTTCCTTGCTTCTGGTATGGTTGAGGATCTCTCTCTTCCTTCCTCACAGTGCTACATGGAATGAAACACAGGGTGAGGAACATGTAGCTTTGGAAAAAAAATCTACTTCATTTGTCAAAAATTACATACCTTATAGTGTACAATAGACTGTCTTAAATACAGCTCCAGGGTGGGCTAGATGGCTGATCAGGTAAGGTGCTTGTCAAGTCTAGTGGCCTGAATTTGATCACTGTAACCCAAGTAAAGTTGGAAAGAATTGACCCCACTTAAGAGCCATGTGTTCTCACATACGTATGTGCGTGTGCGCACGCACACACACACACACTTTAAGCCCAGAGATGGTGGTGTCCTACTTTAATCCCAGCACTTGGGAGGCAGAGGCAAGTGGATCTCTGTGAGTTTGAGACCAGCATGGTCTACAGAGCAAGCTCCAGGACAGTCAAGGATGCAGAGAATAACTCTGTCTCAAAACAAACAAGCAAACAAACAAAATCCCCCCAAACATCTTAAAAATGTACTGTAGCATGGCTAAACCAAACTAGTAAGCATATATATTGCTTCTACACACTTATTTGGGTAATATTTACACATTTATGCCAAGAAAATCTCAGTGGGACTTGAGGGTTGAACTAGATTGTCAGGGTTGGTGCCATGTGCCTTTACTGTTGGATGTTCTGACTGACCCACCTTTCTGAGACAACGTCTTGATGTAACTCTAGTTGGCCTGAAACCTGATATGTAAATCAAGCTGGACTCAAACTTGAGCTAATCCTGTCTCTGTTTCCCAAATGCCAAAATTACAGGTGTGTGTTAACACATGCAGCCAACACATCTATTTGACATATTAATTCTTCATTATTGACCTAGTGGTAAGATTGCTGTATCATACAGTTTGCTTCTAATTCTTAAGGACTTTTATAATAGTTTTCCATAATATCTATACTAATTTACATGCCTTCCAATAGTGTATAGGACTCCACAAAATCCTTGCCAACACTTGTTACCTTTCCAGGGACTTTTCGGTAAAAGTCATTTCTACCATATGTGATGTAATGTATCATTTGGTCTTGATTTGTATTTTCCTGACATAAGTTTTGACCACTTTCCTTTTTTTTGGTATCTGTGTATTTAAGGACATGATTCAAAAGTCTTGACTAGAATTAAGAAGTGGTTAGAAAATGTAGACTGTTTGAGCAGCTGTGTAGCCAACTAAAATGTTGCAATTTCACTTATAAATTTTGAAAGAGTCAACACAACCTCAACAGCCTAATTTTAAGGATATGCAGTCTGATCTGCACTGTAGACCAGGCTGGCCCCACACTCAGAGAACTGCCAGCCTCTGCCTCCTGAGTGTAAGTGTTACAGCTCTGAGGGGAAAGGCTTCCATAATGGAAGGGTTATGTGTCTGTCCAGGTGACTTGTCCATACATTCTTCAGAAGGGGGGGGTGTGGATTAAAGAAACAATAGATGAGAGATTAAAGATAGAGTAGGGAGGGCATTACAGTGAATACTGAGTCTGCCCCAAGTCTCTTTTTCCTGGCCCTTTTATACCCCAAGGCAAAGGGGAGGGCAAAAGGATTTTTTTTTCCAAAATCATGATACAAGAAAGTGATTACTTCCTTAATATTCAAAACATCTAATAGCTCTTCCCTAAGACAAACATCCTGTTGTTTGGAACAAAACATCATGTTATCTAGGCAAGATATACAACAACTTCATTTTAGGCTAAAAATCTTGCTGTTTGACCTTGTAGGAGCAATAATCGGCTTGAATTCCTTAAGACACCTTATGATACCTTGTGTCAAGATAGAGCAGAGCCATTTCTATGGGCTCCTACAATGTTACAGCTCTGAAGGGAAAGGTATCCTTGCTGATGGGAGCCAAAGAGTACCACAAAGTTACACTGCACACAAACCTCACACAAGAGATTGATTATGAGAGACGTTAGAGGTGGCTGCCTCAGCTCTAGAGGAAGCAGCAAAGAACTGAGCAGAAGGCAGACTTTATATAAGGTTTCTTGGAGTGGGAGGGGTAGAGCTACCCAAGGTGACCTGGGATTGGAGGAATTCTGTGGCCTGATCTGCCAGGCCTCCTTAGCCTTATTCCCCTCAAGGCAGGACAATCAGACACAATAGGGAGTCAAGTCAAAGCAGGAACTCAGTTTATTACTGTCAGTGTCAGCTTATATAGGTTAAGTGAAATCATACAGGCTGATGTGATGTGGGGGTACCTCCAGTCAGTGAGAGACAACCAAGCCCTCCCTCTGATTGGAGGGGTGTCTACTTAGATTTTGCTGTCTCATCCTCACTCGGTAGCTTTGAGACTATCCTTCAAACTCGAGCCAGGCTCTTCTCTGTTCTACAGGTTTTGAGGTACAGGCCCTGAGATAATTTTGGCCCAACATCTCCCCCTTTTTGTTTTATATCTCACCCCCTACCCTGGTCACCAAGTCAGAATAGCCCATCAGGGAGAGAATATGGATCAGGGCCACCCCTATCCAGAGTTTTGGCCTGGATACTCTCAAATTGAGAGTTCATCCATGGCATGAGATGTAGCAAACCTATCATAATGTACTCAAAGGGTCACGAGTTGTACCTGTTGTATCTGTTTTTGGAATGTTTGCTTCAGCCTTTGGAGAATGCATGGGCCAAAGAGATAGATCAATAAACTAATGGTTATTGGCCCAATTAGGGAAGAGATGAGTTTGATAAGCCATATGTACCAATTAAATTAGGTCTCATAGGGGGTCTTTGACTTAAATGAATCAATATCTTTTCTTAACTCATCTAGAGCTCTCGTGACTGTCCCGGAATGGTTCGCATAAAAGAAACATTCTTCCCCAAGTGCCCTGCAAATTCCTCCCTGTTCCATAAACAGCAAGTCCAAGCCCCTCCTATTTTGTAAGGCTACCCTTGCTAAGGAATCCAAAGACTTTTGTAAATAACATAATACAGTCTCTGTCTTTTCTAAGATCACTGTCATTTGTGAGCGAATTATTCCCGTTTCTTGTAAAATCACCAGGGATGAGGTGCCCAGGGCAGTCCAGGCCACCCCTAGTCCCATCAATGTGGTGATGGCCAGGGTCATTAGGGGTTCTCTCTTATGCCTTCAGGCTAGGAATTCTTCTTGTGTGCGGTAAAGCACATGAAGGAAAATTAATGCAAGCAGGCAAGTATCATTATGCTGAATGATCTGTGGG